ATGCGATGGGCTGAAAAGGGAGGGGGCAATAAACCTGCGGTGGGGCCAAATAGGATCCAGGATGAGTGTCAGTGAGTGCAGGCAGTTTGTCGTGGCCTCGCAGCCACCCCAAGGAAGGAGCAGGGCAAGCTGGGGCCAGCCCAGCCATCAGGCACTCCACAAGGATGTGAAGTCAGCCCACAGTGCAGGTCTGGACTGGGGGATGCTGTCAGAGTGGAGAGAGATGCTGAGCAGGGCTTTTGTAGCCAGCCTTATTGCCCTTCCGCTGAGATGGGTTCATACAGTGAGGTGTGCTTTTCTTTTATTTTGAACAAGAAAACTTGGTTTTGTACAGAATCCTTTACATTATTCATAGTGCTCTTTCTTTGCTGAAACATGTAAGCAGTTGAGAGTTTACCACAGACTGATCAAGAAAATCCTTGGGTTTAAAGCCACAACTTTAAAAATCAGACTTCAGACTTAATTTCTCCTACTCTCCACACCTAAAGCATTCTTGCCATAGAGAAACAGCATCATCAGACCTTGACACTTGTCCTTCAGGTGCTTTGAAGTGCTTGAGTCATCCTTGAAGGTAAAATCGGGATCATATGATATACATATTGATGTAATATTATTACATACAGTACACCGATTCTTTTCCTCTTATATTTGTTTTCTCTTAAAATAAGACAGGACACGAAGAGCAACCCAGGATCAGCCCTTCCTCAGGCCCCCAGGATGGGATCCCTATGAAGGGCTCATCACTTGCAGATAGAGTGGTTGTAAAGATGTCACCAAGGGCACGCTTTGATCTTCAGGTTTTTATTACTGGCAATGATGTGTGAGAAGATAGAAACGGTTTCTTTTTTTGTTTTTTATTTTTGTTCTCAGACATGAGATTGAATTTCCAGTCCTAGCAGTTAGGAAAGAAAAAAGAAAAAACAAAATATCCTTGGAAATACATGGCATCTCGTATGGAAACCAATGGAACACAAAAGTTATGTTGCTATTTTTAAGGCGTATTTTATTAGTACAACTGCAGTTTAAAATAAACAGCAATCCCTAGAGCCTGTTAATGCTAGTCTCCCAAACCCACAGCTTCCAAATAGTATTGGTAGGAGGAGTCAGAGTCCTTAACACCTCTCACACTGGTGTAATCCCATGCAAACATACACAGCCGTATGCACTGATATCAAAGGAGCTATTTGGGATTTGCATTGAAACCACCGAGAACAAGCTCTGACCTGCAGTGCCCAAGCACATGGGAAATACGTGTTTCCCAGACACATGAATATTGCATTAGGCCATGACAAGGCCTCTGCTCTCATCATCCAGGAGCAGACTCGGCTCGTGTCCTGGCTGTCAGCCTCCCTCATACACCAGCTATCACAGCACTGCTTCATACCTCCAATGGGGAGACAGGGAAGGCCTCAGAGATAGGGGAAATTACAAACTCCAGTCTGGAGGATTTTTGGTGGTGCTTCACAATTAGGAATCCCTAATTCATCCTCTTTGTTCCCTGTGAATTTAAGATCATCCAGTCCAATCCCAACCCATCCCCACCATGCCCACTGTCCATGTCCCTCAGTGCCACATCCCCACAGTTCTTAACACCTCCAGGGATGGTGACTCCACCACCTACTGGGCAGCCTGTGCCACTGCATTGCCATACTTTCTGAGAAAAAATATTTCCTAATATCCAACTTGAACCTCCTCTGGTGCATCTTATTATTTGCACAGTATAATTTGTCCCATGTTGGCCATGGATAGAGAATGCATAAACCTGCTGCTCTTATCTTTTTGTTAGCAACATGCCCAACTTTGCTTTTCAGACAGCAGTACATAGCTGTGCTACACCACACATATGGAACATTTCAGACAGTGTCAGCAATGATTTCTGTTGGCTAGGCTTTAAGTTGAACAAGTTTTTAGATCTCTGTAGTCAACTGCTTGTGGAAGAGAGCACATTATTCAAATCACTTTGATGTATTCAGTTAAAAAGATTTCCAAAATGGCATGCTTAGTTTTTTTGTTAATTTGTTAGTTTTATATGAGATAACCCAGTAGGCAGAAGTCAGTCCGTCATTTTTCATGCTAAAGAGTCCCAACCAAATTAATTGTTCCTCTACTGTTCTTGTCTTCTTTTTTCTTTATTTATTTTTGTATCTATCTTCCATCATCCTTGTGATGCAGAACCCAGGTATAGAAAACTTTCACTAAAAGACGTCTTCAAAACTGTTTTCCACCTCAGATTCCCTGTCAGTGTGGCAGGAAAAGCCCCAAGATGCAAGATGTGAAGTTATGAGGAGAGAGATACAAAAGAGATTATTTCCAGAATCTGTCTCACCTTTCTCCATTTTGGATGAAAATTCATAGAATTTGATTATGCTTTACTACAGAACATGAATGTGAATGAGAGTACCCTTTTCCTAACCTGTTCTAATAATCACCTGTGAAGTAACTACTTTTGCTAGTGGGGGACTGACTTCTTGAAATCTCTTCTTGTCCTCCGGGAAAAGCAGCAATTTTGCTCTCATTCGTTCCTGCAGCAGAGTTCACAAAAGAAATGCTCTGTGGGCTGCCACTGAGTGAGTCTGGTTTTGTACTTTTTATGGTGCTGAATGTCTTCATTTCAAATTTAAAAAAAAAAAAAAGAAAGAAAGAAAGCTGAAAACATGTAACTGTGCTTTATGTCTAGAAAACATAATGCTATGGTGCAGTCTTTGGCTCTACACATGCACCTATAAATATCTTATCCAGGCACTTGGCAGTACGCTATTGTTCTTGCTTCATGGCCATGTGGATTTGAACCTTGGAAGCAAAGGAAATGTGAAGTGGATACAGAGCAGGAACATACTCCATTCCAGCTGACAATTCAAGGTTACTTTTAAAGTAAATAAAGTGATGCTAAACAGATTTCTCTCTCTTTTCTGATAATAAAGTTGCTACATGCTGGATTTGACTGCTTTTCATTAAACAAGAGCTGCACAGGTCAGAAGGTGTGCAGGTTCAATTTGTTCTTTCAGCATATAAGTACCAAAGAGCTTTCTGTTATGCTGAGGGAATTAAGCTAACCTTCAGCCCCCCCCTCAGTACATGGCAAGGTTTTATAGAAGGCACGTATTTTCTCTGGGCTCCCCTTTCTGCAAAATACCTCCTTATTTTCATGGGTTTTAGAAGTTAGAGAGGCTGAGAATGCCAATATTTCAAAGTGTTAACAGCCTCAGCATTAGGACTGAGAAAAGCGCTGATGCCCAGACTTAAAGAACATTTTTCCTTTTGCATCTCACAGGTTTTCTTATAAAAGGAGGAACATGTAACCTTTCAGGATGTAGTGTCTTACCATCCTCTGCAAGGGAGTGTCAGGGTGGAAGTGAAGGTATTTATCTAAGAGATTATTCAGTGCCTGCAGAGAGGGACAGAGCATTGCAGGGTTTGGGCCTACTGGGCATGGTGGCGATGGCTTGATGGTTAGACTAAATGCTCTTAGAGGTCTCTTCCAACATTGATGATTCTATCATTCTATGATCCTATGTGCAGAAGAGCCTCCTTTGAAGTTTGTATTCACCTATGAGCTGGCGGAGAATAAGTACAAGCAGCTTTCTCTGTTAACCATACCATTCATCTAATATCATTTCATCCAGTTTCTCCTGTTTCCCGCAGAATTTGAGGCTACTGATGAGAAAGGCAATGAAAAGTAGCCTGGTCATTTGATTTATACTAGGATATGAGTGGCCTAAATGTAACCCTTTCCTGTATGATAGGCTCCAGCTTGCAGCAAAATCTCTTAAGCCCTCTATACGAGAACTAAACTGCTTATTAAGGCAAGAGCTAACTCCTATGTGCCCTCCTCCTGGCACACCAAGGTCCATGGCAGTGTTTCCCTGTCTTGTACTTGGATAGAATCAATTGAGATGGTTTTAATGATTTTTCCAAAGGCACAGGTTCAGTGCCTTGGGAAGAGATGTCCATCCTATCACTTTTTTCCCCCAGTCATTTATTTTCCACCATTCTCTTTCTTATGATCCTGCTGTTTGCCTTCACTTGTCCTGGTTCTCAGGTGGCATTTTGCTGAACCAGAGCACTATCAGAAAATAAAGCTACTTTAATACCTTTTGTTATGTATGTGTAAAACACTGATCTGTTTTCTTCCAGACAAGTGAGTTGAATTGAGTCAGTGAAGTGTCACAGGAGAAACAGGTCTGGAGCAGAGACTAGAAATTAAATGCTCTTTTCACCATAGCAGCATGGAACACATAGAGCCTGGCACTGTGATGTGGTTCTCAGCAAGGTTTGCTGCTAACCAAAATCTTGAGACTGGAGCCCTAAAATGAGATAATGAGAAAGTGGCAAAATTGTCCCCTTCCTGGAAGGCAGTGAGATTTTCCCTGTAATAAGGCACCAATTACACCTGGGAATCATCGTGGTGGGTCAGTGGTTGGAATATACAATCTTTAGCCATCAAATGATGACTATCATTTAATCATTTCCAACCTTGATTACTCTATGATTTTATGATCATCATTTAGGAGAAGGCAGCCAGAGAGGACTGTAGGCATAAGGTCACTGTATCTCCACATCACTGATGCTGCTACAGTCCTGGCAATGGCAGTTACCAAAACAGACTCTGTCCTCTGGTCTTCCCTCCTTCCAAGTCCCAACACTGCAAGGAGTGAAGGACTTTGCCATTAATAAAAGATCAAATCCAGAATAACTACTTAACTTATAGATAACAGTGAAATGGAGAAAGGTAAGATCACTGGCAGTCAAAGATGTAGAATGAGCAATTCCTTATTGAAATTTCTTAGAGCATTACCGGGTTGCATGGGAAAAAAAATCAATTAAGTTGTACATTTGCAGTATCTAATATTTTAAGTTTGCTTTAATAGTCCTTTACATCATTATGATCAGTGCAGTACGTGCATAAATATCTCCATCTCCCCAACATTTTCCTCTTGACAGGTTAGTTTTCTACCCACAGAGATATTGATGAGACACTTTTGTGCTCCAGATATGTGCATTTTTCTGCATTTTCAAATAGGAACCACCATTATCTTTTTGCAAGCTGAATATTTTTTATACATCATTTACTGGTGACTAATGTGTACTTCAGCCATGAGCTCCAAGGACTGTCATTTATCTTCCATAATGACCACAAGTTCTTAAAAAAACAGCAACGTACTGCCTGCAAAAGATGATCACAGAACTTAGTTACAGCAAACAGAAACAGAGCAAAATGTGTGTTGATATCTCTTGTTTTGGAAACAAACAAAGGAAAGAATCAAAAGCCTCTCCTACCTCTTGTGTGAAATGCAACATAAAGTAAAAGGCTTTAAATCAGTTAAAATATACAGTTTTATTTCTGTTTCTGACATGATTTCCTCATCTGGAAAAAAGATCCAACAAAAAAAGAAAAAATAACCAAATCAAGCACACACAGCAATGATCAATTCCATTGTCTGCCATTTCTTAGTGACTGATTACTCTCTGTATAAACATACGCAAGACTATCTGTACATGTATTTAGCACAGTGCTGCTGTGACCATAGGACACAAAATATCCATTCATGTTTAGCAAATTCTTCTGTGTGAGGGCAAATCAGATGCCATTTACTACAGGAAAATATGTATTATTTTAAGAAGTCTGCTCAGACATACGTGTGTTTGAAGCACTGCATCGCAGAAGCTAAGTATGTGCCAGACTATGCAAGACACATCTCTGGATGGAATTTAACAAGCCATGAAATCTCCCCTTGGGTTAAGTGTAAGCAATTGCTCACCATCCTGGCAACTCTGTCTAAGCTGTTCCAATCACCATGCTCAAGGAGTATGTTCTCAGCAGGCTGCTCTGCTTTCAATCCTGGGTTCTCTGGGGTCCTGGACACATGTTGTGTTTCCCACTGTTGTCTTTGTTGTTCACAGTGAGAATATGTGCTCAATTTTTCCAGTGCTCCTAGTGATTACAAGTGCCCTATCTGACCATGATTTTCATGGAAAGAAAGCTCAGCACATGTACGGATGCCTTCTGATAAGTATTTCCTCTTCTGAAGTTTTACTAGCAGTTCAACAAATAGTTTCCCCAGTGCCAAATAAGTTTCAGCTATGCAACAATTTTCCCACATGCTTTCAGATGCCATAAAACAGCTTTATCTCCATTCTGTGTCTTGATTTATTTTTTAGTGTCTTTCCTCCTATTAATAAAGAGCAAAGGAGTGATAAATGTGTATTTTACGCAGTACACAGCGCTTTATATGTATATTGTTGCTTCCAACAACTCAACCGCCTCCTATGAATGCAGGCTCTATACAACTTCCTCCTGTAAAGAGGCAAACACACAGAACACAGAAGGCGAGGGAGCTTTTTGTTACCATTATTTACCAGGTCTGCAGGGAACCCATGAGGCCAAGTACAAATCCAAAGAGAAATCTCATTACCTTCTTTGGAGACAAGGTCCTTTACTAAAGTTCACAGATGTTGAGCATGTATTTCCCAGTCAGGATTGACAGCAATCAGTCATATTGATAATGTTGACATCAACTGGTTAAATTAGTGGTCACGCTTCACATGTGTAATCTTGGCCAGTGTGTAATTTCTGGTTTCAAGTATCTCATAGTTTGCTCTCTTACAGGTTTCTAGCTTGTTTCTGATATTCCCAAATGCCTGCCCTATCCATCTTTCAGTATCTATCTACTGAAGCCTGTCCATTCTTGAGATAAATATTCCTTTATTCCCTACCTACACAGACAAATATCTGGGTGCAGAGATCACCCAGATATCAATAGATTAAGATGAGCTTTTCCTGAGCTGACAAATAACCAAGCGTGCTTTGCTCATGGATTATGCGCCCACAAATATCTTTAAGATATCAGAGAAATCTCATCTTCAGAGAATGAGAATTTGGAAACAGAAGACTGGAAATTCAAAATCCCTGAGACAAATGTTTCCCACCTTCCCAAGTTATTAATTTACAAATATAATTGCAATGAAGAATGTTTTCATGTTATAGTTGGTGAGTATGTTTGCCCAGGTATACTTGTTTTACTCCTCCAAGATATAGTCACTGATAAAGATGGATGGGCTTTGACAAGACACATCTGTCATTTTCAGAAATGTGATAAGGCCACTCTGTGCTCAAACAGTCCTGTGTGAGCACAACAAACACTGAGTTTGGAGAAGAATATCCTTGTCTGCGTTTGTGTTTTGTAGCATCAGTAATACGTACCTTGGGAGCATTTAATCTATAGTATCAACACTGTTTATGGTGTCTGGAGTTTTACATGGCTAAAGTAATTACTGTGATAAATGCCAGTAATATTTTAAAATTAACATTGAAGCTTCCTTCGATTTAGATGCAGAAGATATTTAATTGGCAAAGATGGGATTGCACTAAATTCGATTGCTCTTCAGGGCCCGATTCTGCATTGCTGTATTTTCATCCTAATATCTGGAGTCACTACAGGACCAGGTCTTGTTATGGTTTTCCCTATTCACATTCTCAGTGATAATGGCTTCAGCTTTTACTCCTCTTGTAGAAGTCATCAAGTCTGCAGTACTTCAGAGTATAGCCTACAACTTAGCTAACAGATGGACAGATAAGTCCAACTTTGTCTGTTTCTCCTCTACTCTGGAAACATCATATAACCCCTCTCAGCAAGCTCAGGAAGAGTTCTCAGTTTTGTTCTAACCACAGCCAAAGCACATGAATGTAGGGTTTGTCTTTGTGGTGGAAAGAGCTCCAGGGTCATCACTACCTGGTCGTCACAGAGGGATATGACATTGACTCATAAGTCATGGGATGATATCTAAGACAGCTTGGAAACTGTCACCATTACCAACAAAGGGGCATGACTGAATGAGGATCTCTAAAGGAGCAGGTTCAGCCTCCACCATGGACTGCTCTAGTGCTGCAGCAGCTTCATTTGCAGCCCAAGGGAATTTTCCCCAAGAAAGGAATGCAGAATCAGTCTTCTACACAGCACCCAACTAATGAAAACTCTATCCAAGATGAAAACACTTTCTCTAAACTGGTAAAGAATTATTCATAGAAACACATAATCATATAATCATTAAGGTTGGAAAAGACAACTAATATCATGTAGTCCAACCCCAACCCATCCTACCATACCCACTGACCACATCCCTCAGTGCCACATCCCCATGTCTCTTGAGCACCTCTAGGTACAGTGACTCCACCACCTCCCTGGGCAGCCTGCACCAAGGCCCGACCACTCTTTCATAGAAGCTTTTCCTAATATCCAAACTATATTCAGAGTGTTGTGCTACTAGAAAGTTATCCAAGAAGTGAAACTTCTTCTAAGACTTTTAGATGACAGAGCTGACCCAGCCTAAAGGTCAGTGCTAGTAAGAGACTGCAGCCCTTGCCCCTGTATCCTCCTTACTCCCTGCTGAGCTTTTATGCTTCTCTCTTTGTGACCCAGGTGGTTTTCCTCCTGTTGCTGAACTGATCGAACTCATTAATCCAGCAGAAAAGCAATCCAGCAAAAAGTGGAGTTGGCTCATGTAGGGGTCAGATAGTAGACTGGGGCTGCTGCTGGAGTGAAGGTAAGTAGGAAAAGGAGGAGAGCTTAACGAAGAGAGAATTCTTTTTTTAGTGAAAATGAATCATTGGTTCAGCTTGGATGTATTGTGTGGTCATGCTCTCCAGTGGAAAAAGGAATGTTATTTCTACTGTTTACAAATATCACATCAGGTTCTTTTCATTGGTGCCCAGTGCCAGGACAAGAAGTACAACTCAAAATCAGTTTATCTGCCTAAAATCAGCCTAGCCTGCCATGGAATGGAATCACAGTAGAATCACAGCAGAATGACTATGACTGCTATTCAATATTTGTGTCTAGGCCAGCACTATCTTTTTAGCACTATTCAGTTTTAGCAATTGACTTTGCAGATATACAACAAATCATGCTGGAAAGGTAGAACAACAGGGAAATCCCCACCACTGTCTCCTGTCACAAACAGTGGCCGTATCCATCTTGCTGTGTGCTCACTAGCTATCTTCTCTTTGTTGGATGCTTCCTGAGATGAATGAAGATTTTTAGACATTGAATTGTTCAGATTATGGACTATGCTTTCTAGTCACATTCTACGCATATTCTACCTCTAAGCCCTGCTCCGTGTCCCTGCTATTGTTAATAAAGAAGTTGTCAAGCTATTTGAAAATCCAGGCATTGAACAGAGTCAGCAGGTACCTGACATAATCATATATTCAGCTACAAGATCTTCATTTAACTTGAACACAAACTGCAGGGCCTTTCCGTTTTTTTTTCCTCAGGAATTACTCCTGTATTTCATTCCAGAACACTTGTCACTCTGGTGAATATTAATTAAAAGTTGTAATTAATTAAAATGTCAATTAATTCCTTTATTTTATTCTTCAGGGTAATGTTGTATTCAGTTCAAGTGAGAGCAGCAGGTGAGCTTACCAGAATGAAATAAAACAAATCTCAGTCTAAATCCTGTACTGTGGATTCTGAAAGAAGTGATTGCCTCATCACCATTTAGTAAAGGGAGAGATAGGGTTAGAGAGCACCTCCATGAAGGCTGGCAGACAAACATGTTGCAACAGTTTGAGGACAACTTGAGGTCAATATATGAATGAGCTTTCTTTGCTTTAGAAGTCATGACTGCATGCCAATGGGCATCTCTGAAACAGGTTTTTCAGAATGACAGAGGGAACATGGAATCTTAGAATCACAAAATCATAAATGATTTGGGTTGGAAGGGATCTTAAAGCCCACCCAGTTCTAACCCTTCAATGGGCTGGTTGCCCCCCCACCAGCTCAGGCTGCCCAGGGTCCCATCCAGCCTGGCCTTGAGCACCCCCAGGGTTTTGGCACCCATACCTCTCTGGGCAGCAGTGCCAGGGCCTCACCACCCTCTGGGTGAAGAAATTCTTCATAACATCTAACCTAAATCTAAATTAGTTTAATGCTACTCCCCCTTGTCCTATCACTATCAGACTGTGTAAAAAGTCAGTCTCCTCCTGCTTATAAGCTCCCTTCAAGTACTGGAAGGCTGCAGTGAGGTTTCATTGGAGCTTTCTCCTCCAGGCTGACTAAGCCCAGCTCTCTTAACCTCTCTTCATAGGAAGGTCAGCTATGCTTTAGCAAAACATCTGCATGTGGCTTCAGCAAAACTGTTTTTCAAAATCCAGATTCTACCAGAGTAGACAACAAGGCAGAAATCACCATTTGTGCAGCAAAAGAAGGAGACGGAAATTGAAACTGGTTGGTTTTTTTCCACTGGAATTCAAAAGGTTTAGAATCAGTGTAAGTGTGAATGCAGGATAGAACTGCAAGAGAGCTCTTCCAGAGACACTACAGCTAATCTCTAAATGACTTTGGTAAGAGAGCACTATTTGCAGCAATAGCCATGGGAGTTTAATAATAAAGGATGAAAATTCCCATACACGTAAAGTCAACACAGAGGCATGTTGTTTACCTAGAACTGCTGATGGTCTTCTCTGTTACTGTTTCATTTCCTCGTAAAGTTTCTCAGAAATCACAGTTATTGTATCTCACTTCCTCCTTTTTCCCTCCAGGGGCAGTTCCTTCCAGATCAAGGCAAACAATGAGTTTATGATGCATCCTCTCCAGACATTATGAAATGCGGTTTTGTAGACCTTTCCTGTCAGTTCGCACAGATGATTCTATTGAGAGATCTGAGATGGTTTTAAGAATGTGCATTTACCCTTAATAATAACTGGGTACAAAATACTGTGCTATACAAATACAGTCTCTCCTTTTGTGTTTTTCTAAACTCACTTACATCATCATTGTAGGCAGGATTTATTTGACCAAAAGAAGCCAGCAATGTGATTTCTGCTTCTGAGCAAGTCACATTGACTCTCTGCAGCCACAGAAGCACTTTCAAGACATCAGTTGACTCATTCCAACATACATGAGATGAACCACAGCCTAAAATAATTTTCCCTTTCTACTCATTGTAGGAGAGGCCTTGTATGTCCAGGTCAGAGGCTGACACAGACAGTACAATCCAGGTGACATGCTGCATTATCTATCTATCTTTCTTGGACAGAGAAAATCCAGGAAAGCATCTTCACTTTTACATCCAATTTAACGTCTGTGGCCTCAGTCCTGTAACAGCTGGATTTTCCATAAAGATAAAAGGAACATTATTTGGGGTAAAAATAATTACTTTTTGTATTCTTGGATTTTATCCAGAAATTCCAGAGATGAAAAATAACTAGAGATTTCAACTGTACACCATTTTTTACATTCTGAAAGTCCAGTTGTCCACTGATGTTGTTACAGGGGAGCAGAGTGCAGGAAGCGTGTGTTGGATTTGCCCATGTATGAATTCACTCAGGAGCTACACTCATCTAACAGATCAAGAAGGAGATATCATGACACAGCTCCAGAGATCACCAGCAAGCGTTTAGCCAGCACGTTTATCCCAGCCAGGCCATCTCTGCACGTCTCCAGATCATGAAGAGGGAAGACCCTTCTAACCCAAGCCTATCTTATGGTTCTAAGACACTGTTCCAAGTACGGGCTTCAGACCTTTTAAGTTTCAAAAACTTAGGCTCACACTGTTGGGAGCTATGCTAAAATGAGCACTGCTGCTGAAAAAGAGGCAAATGAGTCTGGAATACATCAGATGTCTCTTCTGAATTTGAGTTTTAGTTGCTGAGCACTAGAAAATTCCATCTCCAAAGTTCCATTTGGAATATCAAAGGGCAGCGCAAGAGCCTGGGTTTCATTAGCAGCTAGCTCTGTGAATTGGCTAATTGATGCTTTCACCAAAAACCACTTAATGTACATCTCAAATAGAAAGGAATTCATAAGTTCTGCTACAATTTACACCAAGTTTCCTGCCAGCTGGATCAGGCCCTTTATGTAGCTAGAGATTAGATAAGTGCAGCTAAACCAAGACATTGCTCTTGCTTTCACTTCCAAACAATCCCTGTCACCACATGTTTCTTCCTTGCTCCTTTGAGACAATCTTCCCTAAATGCACACAGAGCAGAGGGAAGGTGAGGCACAGAATGATTGTCTTGACAGGACTCTTCAAATAAGGTCGGTTAACTGAAAAAAGAAAAGTGAGCACCTGCATACAGTGCCCTAGTCCGGAAGGCCCAGGCTTCTTTGCTTCATATTCTTATAACAATATTTTCCAAGTTTCCTCCCGTGATAGCAAGAAATGACTGTCTAATTGGGGAGAGCAGAGCAGCAGATTAGCACATAGTACACTGAATAGCATCTCAACATCTGCTGCCACAGATTTGCTGGCAGCTGTTTTGGCAGTGTAGCTGGAAAATCTGATAATCCTGAACATTAAATTTCTTGTTAGCTTCGCAATGGCAAGTGCCAGCCTCTAGCATGACCCAAAAGGACGATCTGCAGCTTTGAGCAAATGCTGCTGGCTACACCTGAGCATCACATACAGCAACTCTGAGAGAGCACATCTGGACACAGCTGCGCTGGGGCTGCCTCCCACAGGGTGCATGTGGCACAACTTCTACTCCCCAAGGGGTACTTTTTAAATTCCAATGTTTAGTTCTATTTGCAAGCTTCAAACAGGGGTCCAGGCTGAGTCCCTCTTCTACAGAGTACCCAGAAATGATGTGCAACCAGTATGGGGACTCGCTAAAGGCTTTGGAAATTGTAGAATAAGAGAAGAATTTACCTTCACTGGGACCCAGTAAGCCTGTGTGAAGCTGTTACTCACTGCACTCCAAAGCTCTGTGCTTAATGGGGCTGTGTCCGTTGGCCAGTAGAAGACCATGATGTTTGTCTCAAACCCACAGCAGGGTATATTTTGCAATGAAGATCTACAACTTCAAGGTGCTGGGATAAATCAGCCGGGACTATAACAGCATCAAAGCACCTCCAGCTCATCCCAAGAGCAGCAAATGCTCCCAGGCAGCCCTAGATTCACCTGTATACTCAGTTTCTGCACAGTACACCCAACCAAGATGGTGTAAATACACCTCTGAAACTCCCTTCCAGAAGTTTTGAGTTCCAGGTGTATCACAGGTTGGCCAAGCACACAGTCCCACTTTGTCATAAATAAAAGAAAAATTTGTCATCTGGGAACTTTGTAGTGAGCCCAGCCCTACGATAAGACATGGGTACAACATTTGGTGGCTGTAACTTATTTGAACTTCAGTGCCTAAGAACAAGAATAGGCCAAAGCTAGGAAGCTCTTCCCTTAATTACCTTTTTAAACCTGATCTCACCGTAAATGACAAACACTGATAACAGCAAGAGTCAATCCTAATAACAGTTGTGCGTTTTTGCAAATCGCAGTTATCTGCATGGCAGCCCACAATCAGCAGGAATGCCAGGAACGTGTGAAATCCCAAGTACAGGCATTACTTAAGAGGCCCATTAAATACCATTCTCATTCTTGTTTTCACAACTTATTGAGTAGCTTCTGCACCCAAATACTATTTCATGCCGGATTACACCAAGGGAGAAACAGAAGTTCCTCCTGTGGTGAGGTTTAACCCTTTAGAACACAAAAACCTCTAAAGAAAGATTTAAGACCTGATCAGAGCTAAAACATTTAGGATTTCAGTTGAAAGTGGTATTAAACATGCCAGTGCAACTAAGCAGGTTGCCCCTTTCCAGCTCAGGCTACTCAGGGCCCCAACCAGCCTGGCCTTGGGCATCTCCAGGGATGGGACATCCACAGCTCCCTGGGCAGGTGTTCCAGAGCCTCACCACCCTCTGAGTACAAAGAATTTCTTTCAACATCAAATCTAAATTTCCTCTCTTTTAATTTAAAGCCATTTCACAGAATTACAGAATCACAGAATTGTAGGGGTTGGAAGGGACCTCCAGAGATCATCGAGTCCAACCCCCCTGCCAAAGCAGGTTCCCTACACCATTTCCCCTTGTACTATCACTATCGGACCATGTTTCAAGGGGAACAAATCAACTTGCATAAAAGTCTCTTTCAAAAAAAAAAAAAGCAAGGAAATTAATAAAATAAGAGGATTGATCTTCAGCATTTCTACACAGAAATACCACTGCCCCCCAAAACACCTATCTCACATTCATGCCTGTATATAGCCATAACAGCACAGACCTAGTCACAAGCTGATATGGGTGCTACACTAGAAGGTCCTTAATAGAAGCTGGTCAGCATGATCCCCTGCATAGATCTTCAAGGTTGGAAAAGTCCTACAAGATCATCCAGTCCAACCATCCACCAATAGTTCTCACTAAACCATATCCCTCAACATAAAATCCAAATGTACCTTGAACACCTCCAGGGTCAATGACTCCACCACCTCCCTGGGCATCCCATTCCAGTGTCTGACCACTCTTTGAGAAAAGTAGTATTTCCTAACATCCAGCCTAAATCTCCCCTGGTGCAGCTTGCAGCTATTCTAGTTCTATCACCAGTTACACAAGAGAAGAGGCCGACCCCCAGCTCACTACAACCTTCCTTCAGGTAGTTATAGAGAGCAAAACATACTTTATTTAATTTGTTCATTACAGTAATTATTTTTGCTATTTCACACTTCCAGGGCTTTGCAATTAAGGCAGGAGCTGGGACAGCACATGAGTTACAGGGGTGAGTTGTGCCTAAGTGCTGTTAGCCAGGAGCCTGCAGCCACATGGCACCCAGTGCACTGGGTGTGAATTTACTGGGCCATAAATAATACCCACGTGTGCCTTATGGAGGAGATAAGCCAGCTCACAAAGCAGGAATTTCAGGACTAGGCATAAAAACCTCCATTCATGCCCAGACTGCACACAAGAGAAGCAAAGTTGGGATGTCTTAAAAGGTCCCTACCATATCCCTGCTACCCCAGAAACACTGCCACAAACTCCTGTTTCTCCTTAATTTCATATGCAAGGTACTCCATGGGTGTAAAGGAAAGAAGTTCCAGCACCAGTTTTTACTTACCGAGCTCTGTGGCTTTTCATCAGCAGAAACTACTGATGGCTCTGGGCCATTTGGATAGGAGGAATGTGAGGACCATCTTCCCAGCTGTGCAGTTAGCCTCATTTCCTAATCACAATCTCATAGACCTGGGAGAAACCAAAAGAAATAATCTTCTGAGACACGTGGACACTCAAATCTCATTTTAAGCTTGAATGAAATTTAAGTGCCTAAGCCTTACTGACTTTCACAGGCAGTTTGGGTTGGATATTTTGGCAGACTGACCACTTTGTGCATTCCCCTTTTATTTATGTCACTAGAGATACGTTCAGCCACGATCATAAATGGTGTATTTTATCCCATTGGATTACAAAGATGGATCTCTGTTTCAAAATAAATCTGTTCTCCCACTGAGCCAAGCGAAGAATTATTATATTGTTGTAAATGAGAAGAGAAATAACATTAACAAAGGGGTTGGAGCAAGGCTTTGGCATCTTTAGCATTTTGGCCACCTGTATAAATACAAAAGCCAAATCTCAGAGTGATGTGACAATCTGTTAATTTTACCACAAAGCACAGTGCAGGGCAGCATCTCCATACACCATATAGGCAACGCAGGCATCAGCAGGATCCCATCTGCACAAATAATCATGACCATGTACAGGGCCAACATGATCTTGCTCACCATCTCTGGATCATCTTGGTGTTCTTGCCTTGAGAAAAAAAAAGACAAGACAAAAACTCCACTGCAAACCAATGTCTTGACCACTCCATGTCTCTCAGTAGGAGGTTGTCAACATTCCTTCTTACAACAGAGCCATCTTTGTAGCTCTGGGAAAAAAACATGTCATTTATGTTCTTATGAAGCATTCCTGGTTTATATATGATGCATTCAGAACAATCCATCTTCTATCTCGGTGGCCTGTTTAGAGACTTAGGGAGCTGGCACTGATTAAATGTCTATAATAGAGAGCATTAATTTACCCGTCAGTAGAAAAATCACCATTGTAAATTGTCCCAGTCGGTTTGTATATCACCGAATGATACGCCGCGTGTCCTGGATGCATGTACTGAACAGCACTCGTACATAAAGCACGTTCAATTAGCAGCACCCGCGTGCTTCAGCTGGCAACAGGCAGGAGGTGAGGGCAGGATTCTGCTGCCCTCTTTAGGATTTGTGCCGTGGACTCCTCTGCCTGAAGAATGAAAAGAAAGGTCTCTCTATGCCTGAATTCCCACATGCAATCCACAGCATCTCACAGAAATGGAAAAAAATTGCCATATCCTTTCCTTTTGCTGATCATGCTATACTGCTTGCAATCTTATTAAGATTTTTACTTTTTTTTTTTTTTTTTGCCGTGAAGAGTAGAAAAATATTCTGTGTACATAGAAGCACAGAATGCTCCCCCATCTGTTGATTCCCAGTCCCAGCTGTAATATCACTGTTACTCAGTAGAGCCCTTGGAAAACAACGGCAAGGTCCCCGTGCCCTAAGTAGAGGTATGTACTGGTCTCACTTGAGCAATGGAGTAGCTTCCAATTTGCAGAGGGTATGTGGATATATCAGGAAAAGATGGACTAACTCTTACTGTGGTAGGAGAGGAAGGCAGGAAGATGAAAGAGGTATGAGCTGGGAATGAGTTAGGAATAACTAGATTTGGGAAAGCAAGGAAATACACTACATATGGGACACAGCTGGCTGTGGACAGAGATGCTCAGGTTCTGGGGAAAAGACAGCAAAGAGAAGGTGAGGAGCAAAAGAAAATCTCAGTGTGTTTGTTTAAAACTCTCATTGTGAGCTACACCCAGCCACTGTGCTTCTTTGTACCAGGCTTATACCCACGGTTGGCTCCCTCCTTCCCAGACACTGCACAGCCACAGGGCACGAAGGTGAGACAAAACAAGGCAAAACTTCCATCTTGCTAACCACTGAACACCTTGCTAAAGAGAAGCCAAATCTAGCTTGCCTTTACCTTTTTCTTTGCCAAACATCCCACAGAAGAAAAGGAGATTATTTCTGTTGGCAAAACACACTGCTCCTGTCTCAGTATTTCCTTTATAAAGGCAGTGCCTTCAGATCCATCAGCATTCTTTTCACAGCACCAAAACTGTTTTTCCCAAGCCTGCCTGTGTGGCTTCATGCCTGCTTCCCACCCTTGGGCACACAGGTGCTGCAAGAACTTGAGGTGTGGGCTTTTAAGAAGCAACATTACCACTCTGACTACTCAGGAACTCCCTTAATCAAAGCTCCTGGCACAGAAATCAAGATGTGGTCTTTCATAGAATCATAAAATCGTTTGGTTTAAAAGACCACTAAGATCATCGAGTCCAGCCAGCAACCCATCACCACAATACCACCAAGCCATGTCCTTCAGTGCCACATCTCCACACTTCTTGAAAACCTCCAGGGACAGTGATCCCACCACTTTTCTAACTGCCAGACTGGCAAAATTAATAAAACAGATGAAAGGCCCTTCTGCCATTCATCACTGCTGATAAAGGTCCTACCATCAGAACCAAGCTCACAGTATTGCTGCTGATGCAGTAAGCAGGAGGTGACCCAATTCCCTCTCACAGAGCCACTGCAGCTTCTGCCACGCAGGTCCTACAGAACTTGCTAAGCCTCAGGGACCTGTCAAGGCATGGCTTCAAACTCTCTGCCTGGTAATATTGCAGTAGTTATTCAGAAAGTGCCATCCTTTTAGAAATTAAGGTCAAGGTTATGAAAAACAAGTTGTGATTTCCAGCAGGTCTTCTGCTGAGCTATTTTAAAAGGATGAGCTATTTTTAAAGGCTCTTTTTTTTTTTTCCTCAAAGGACTATAAAGTATTTGGTAGCTTCTGAAATCAGATGTTTTCAAGGGCACAATAAGACTTTGGGTGCAAACACTTTCAGGCTCCAGTAGGTGATAGCCCTACTGGAAGTTGTTAAGCATCATTAGCCGCTGGGAGGCAAAGCGAACAAGTCAAGTATGTCCAAGCATTGCTGTATCTGTAACTACTTTCAGGCTGTGGATGGCCCCATTTCATCAGCTCTGACCACACAGAATCACCTCCCTGCTAGGTCTGGCTGTGGAGAAGCTGACAGCAAAAGCTCAAAGCATGCACTACGAGCTGTTGAGTTTCCACAACCCCAGCCCAACATTTCAGCACTGTGCCAAACATCTGCTTCATGCTAGAGTCCTCACACAAGAAGTTAACTTTATCTGCAGAGCTCTGTGCTATGCACAAGTAAATCCCAGTGCATTTCTTACCAGCATGATTTATCAGTCTGGCTAAGAAAACTCAGGTCTCAGAAGTCTGTTGTCAAAGTTAATGGAGCAAGAATACAAACTGCAGCATCTTAGGGCTATGGTCACTTCTCCACAGCATCCTCTTGACAGCTTTGGATCCAAAATTCTGCATTACTTGTCCAGGCTGCAGCCACACATCCAGCAGTGGCATGGAAACACCTTTCTTTCTGGCCTACAGAGCCTAAATGAAGGGGAGAGTTCTTCTTGAAGCTTACATCAAAAGACTGAATCAGTTGCATGGCTACCCAAATGAAAGAATGGAGGTGATGGGCATGGAGGGAAGAGCATGGTATTTTGCATGGCTGTGTCATATTTGTGCCCATGGAGAGCAACATGGGCATTGCCTGGCCTCACAGGGAAACAACCACATGCAAAAAAAACAAATGCCCTGCTGCTTGGTGAAGGTACTAAAGGATCCTTTGCCTCCTTGATAAAAGGTGTGACAAGAAGGAAAGAAAGAAAAAGGAAAGAGGAGCTCTCTACAGGAAGGAAAAGCAGGGAAGAAGTTAAAAAAAAAAATAATAATAATCATATTGACCCCAAACTTTGTTGCCTAAGAAGCACAGAACAGGTGTAAGACAAAATGTAACAGCAACACTAAAAAAGCACCTGAGTCCCAAGAATGAAAATTATGACAAAAGCAAAATTTTGTCTAATAGTTAAGTTATCAATAACTCATTTTCTGGGAGTAAAACCAACCAGAAATACATGTGCTGCTGTAGCCTCTGCTGGGAGGCAGGGACAGTGCCTCCAGCACCAAATGCGAGTTTTTTCCCTCCCACCTCAAAATCAAGGTGACCACGTCCTGGGCTTTAAAACCCATTCAGTCCCTAGTCAGCAGCAGTAATAAAATGAGTACATAATGCCACCTTCTGGCTATAGTGGAGGACACAATAAAACACTGGCAGGAAGACAGCGCTCCATCCCTCCTGCATGGGGGGGATGATATATATCACTTGCTTGGGGAAGTCAAATTTCTTTTGCTGACTTAATCCCAGAGCCAAAATTAATCAGACATCCCAGCTAACAGGATCAGGAAATGCCATAAATTATGCTGCCTCCAACCTAACAACAGCATTAACAGCACGAAGAAGGTGGAGGCCTTTTTTGATTAATAGCTGTTTAAGTTGCCTAAAGGACCTATGAAACCTCCTGCTGGCTGACACAGTGAACAACATTTTATATTACCCAATAGAAGGAAATGTCTTTAAAAGTGATGGATTATGCAGATGTGAGATGGAAGCTATGTGATGTGACTGCCTCAGAGCTGTGGACATGAAGGTCCCCTGCTGCCCTCAGCAGCCCCAGAGGAGACACTGTCACCTTGAGCTGAGCACCCTCAACAAAAGCCACACAGTGTAATGGGTTGGGTTGAGGTGGCTCCATACAGAGCTAGAAAGTTGATGCAAATGAAATCACATGCAACTCATGGTACATTTTCTTCATGCACAATGCAACAATCTCAGGAGCCTCCTATTCACTCCTATGGTTGCTCTCCTGAGAAGTCTTAGCACTATGAAAAACCTTTTTTTTTACATTCTTTTGCTTAGGGTGAGTCATCCTAGGGTGACTGGATTTCTGAGCATCCTCTACAACTGCACTGCTGTGCACCATTTTTAATTTACATGAAATGGGTAATGAGCCCTTCTCAAATGGAAGAATCTCTTCTCAGAAAGAGTGGCAGTGCCACTTACACAGCACAGGCTGCACAGCGAGGTGGCAGAGTTACCAACCCCAGAGATATTCTGGAAAGCGGAAATGTGGCACTGAGGGACGTGGTTAGGGACATAGAGGTGATGGATCAATGGTTGGTCCAGATGATCTTAGAAGTCTTTTTCCAATCTTAATGATTCTATGATTCTAAGCAGGAAAAGGTGCATTTTACACTTCTCTTGCATTGGTGCTATCAAGTGTAGCATTAGTAAAGCAGCTGAAAACAAAATCCCATGACTGCTCATGTTGCCAAAACCCCACTGCCAGATGTGATCGTGGCTGAAAAGATCCTTCAGGGATTCTCATAATTTCAGATATATGCCATTCCATCCAGCCAAAAAGTTTTGTCATTGCAATTCAGCAGTGAGCATTTCTACATAGGCCCAACATTTCCTCTGACATTACCTTTGGATAATAACTCATCCACAGTGACAGAGGAAGTTTTCCAGAGTTGAGGCAGAAATTGCCATCAGATTTGAACACCTCAAAATATTTCAGAAGGACCTCTCCTAATTAAACTTCCTATTCCTTTGACAACTCAAGTGGATTTCAGTTCCATTCCTAACCTCTTAGACTCATGCACTTCGCACTGTGCTCAATGGCCACAGTTCTCAGCCACAGATTAAATTCCCTCCCTACGTAGTCCTTAATAATTACCCCTTTGAAGGGG